ACCTGAAACATTTCTGATCATTCTCCTTCCCTTTGCTGACTTGCAGTCCAAGGTCAGTGCTGCACAGATCAGCCCAGGGATGGCCATTCCCCCTCAGAGCTGTCTGGGAGGGCTGGCCTGAAAATCCTCTGTCCTTTTGTCCCCTGGATCGGGAGAATCTGAGCTTGAAAACACCACCCCTGATTAAATCCTCCAAGAAGCAGCAATTCTGTGTGCTCATCACTCAGTTCTGGCTATGTTCTGCTTAATAACTAAACACTAATTAGCTGCACAGTTTTGCTACTACACTTATAATAGCCCCCATTAAAGTTATGGGGTTTTTAGGCAGTAATGGCTTACAGAGTAATTAACGAGCAAGAGGCTTTTATTACTACCTTTATTTTTAGCCTGTGCTTTACAAGCCTGTTCTGCCAAATACCAAAAATCTTAGACAGAGGCTTGGAATGCCCATCCCCTGCCAAGCAGTGTGAAATGGAACAGGGATGAGTGTGGAGCACCTGGAGCTCAGAGCTGCTCCAGAATCCCAAAATTGCAGGCTGGTTTGGGTTGAAAGGAACTTAAATCTCATCCAGTTCAATCCCCTCCCATGGGCAGGGACACCTCCCACTGTCCCAGGTTGTTCCCAACCCCTTCCAGCCTGGCCCCTTGTCCTGACCCAGCCTTGGTCAGACTGTGCTGTGCTGTGACCACTCCGTGCCTCAGTTTCCCCCTCTGGAAAGGGGGCAGGACATCCTCGGGGTTGATTTCTGTGCCAGACACCTATCTGAGCTGGGGTGTGAGTTCAGAAAGGTTTTTGGGGTCACAGGGGATGTGGGTTGAGGTGGGCAGAGCAGAGGGACCAACTCTGTCTTGTGCCATCCAGCATCATTTTTCAGCAGGGATCAGAGCCAGCTGCTGTTACAAAAGTGACAGGAGCCCTGATTTTAGACTTTGGGAGGGAAAAGCTTTTGGTGTGAATCTTCTGAAGTGTGAGTGTTTATTTTCTTTGCAAAGCTTTTGTTGCAGGTTTTGGCAGCATCTGTTTGTTATTTCCTGGCTTGTTTGGAGCACAACAAAACAACGTTTGCTACGTTTGTTTGGGGAAATTTTGGGGTGTGTTTTTTTCACATCTAGACAATGTTTTTACTCCAGTAAGATGTATAGGTACAAATTCAAATCAAGCCTTTCTTTAGTTTAACATTTTCTAAATCACTTCTCTTCAGTGTGGGCAAACCAAGGATTAATGACACTGGGGCTGAGCAGCCCCAGAGGAGGAATGAAGGTAAAACTGACTATAAAGGTTGCAGATCAAATCACTCGTTCCTATGGCAAGTGTCAGAGCTGATGCCAATTAACTTGATTTAAAAAAAGAACCTTCAGTGTTTAATAATCCAGCATGTTACTAACACGTGGCTCCAGGATTTATTAAAGCTTTTTTATTAGATCAGTGCCCTTTCCATATTGTCATTCCTCGACACCATTGCCCTCTGCCGGAGGATGGGGATCTCTTTCATCTTGTGGCACCCAATTCTTCCCAAAACCCTGCAAAACTCCTTTGTTTTAGGAATACTTTAACCCTAAAATCACTTACATTTGAGCCAGTGATTTGTGGCTTTCACTTCACTTTCCAAAAGTGGGGAAAAAAAAAAAGGCAGGATACTCTCTGTTGTGGAAAATAGAGTTTGATTGTTTTAATTGATGTTTAAATTTGTTCCTCCTCCTTCATTTCCCTGGGGAAGAGGAGACAGGAGAAGTTTAAAAGTGACAATCTGAACAAAGCAGGTTTTGTCTCAAACAATTTCAGTGAGAAAAGCAGAGTGCTGTTATGATGGGGAAGGGGTGGAGTGAATGCCTTGAAGAGGAGCATCATTTTTCCCAGACCAATTTTTGTCTTGTGTCACAAACAGCAACAAAAATCATCGCCTGGCTTTGGCAACAAGTGAGTTTTGGGATTTAGGGCAAGCGCTCTGACCTGGGCTGTGAAGCTGTGACTCCTCTCACCAGCAGTGTCAAATCACAGGCTGCCATGTAATTCCTGGCTGATGTTCACAGGAGGAAATGGATTTCACCTTTGGCAGCTTTGGCGCGTGCTGGGAGGGGAGCGTGGCTTTGTGACACTGAGAGCCGGTGTCACCTCGCACCGAGGCCCTCGGTGGCATCAGGGTGTGGAGAGGGAAGCTTGGAATGCTCTGGATGGAGATTTCACAGCTGCCCCACAGGAATTCTTACCACGTCCTTCAGGCAGGATCATCAATAGAAGCAAATCCCTTCAGGAATCAGCAGTGAGGGAACGCTGCAGAGCAGAGCCCATGGTGCTCCCTGGATGTTTCTGGGCAGCTCGGGGTGCAGAGCGTGGCCAGAACTGGGGTCAGCCTCCAGCTCCATGTCCCTGCCTGCCACCCATCGCCATCTGGGATCCACCCTGGGCTCGTGTCCCTTTGGGGACATTCATTGCAGCCACTGCATCCGAGTGGCATCTGCAGCCCAGGAGTGCGGACGGCACAAAGGGAGCTCAGCCAGCTCCGGGGGACAGGGAGGGGAGCACTGGGACATTCCCTGTGCCTGGCAGCTCTCCCTGCTGGGCCACCAGTGGGCTGTGCTGGCCCAGGGCAGCTGGAGCTCCACAGTGACAGCTGAGTGACCAGGGAGCTGCGAATGCTCCGGAGCAAATGGAAATTATCAGAGCAAAGCACAAATCACTGGAGCCTGCTTGTTCTCGCTGGTGCTCAGGGGCTGGGAAGCAGAGCAGCACCCCAGCACAAAGGGGCCCATTTCCATCATGGCAAGCTCAGCCTGTCCCGTGGGACGAGGCTGAATTGAGCCTGGATGGGCAGGAGGCAGAGGAAAGGCAGCGTTAAGGTAGGGGCACTGTGCCTGGAGGAAGCTGCTCATGACAAACGGCACATTTGGTGATGCCAGCCCACTGTGGCTGCTTGCCAGGGGCTGTCAGTGGGCTCTGAGTGGCTTTTTTAGCTGTTATTTCCCCCCACCCCCTCTCCAGGAGCAGAATCCTTTCCTGGGTGCATTTCTGGGGAAGGCACTTTTCCTGGGAAAGGTGCTCAGCCTTTCCAGCTGCCCCTTAGGCCCTGCCCTGCAGGGATGCTCAAGGGACCTGTTCCAGCTTCATCAGAGGATTCCAAGGACGCCAGCACTCCTTGTCCTCTGTTCAGGCACAGTCAGCAATGCAGGGACAGCAGGGATGAGGCCAGATGCTCTTTCCTCAGGGCACTGTGCTCTGGCAGATCGAGGTCAGCAGGAATCTCTGGCTCCAAGAGCTGGACAGGGATGCAGCAGAAGGCTGATGCTTGCTGGAATAATTCCTCCTCTTCCTGGTTTGTTTTGTCTGAATGAGGCTGCTTTCACCAATTCTGAAAACAAATGAGAGAGCTCTGACTGGGGAACTGACTGTTTGCTAGAGTTGGCTGGGAATTTTCCTACGAGTTTGGGTTTTGTATGCATGGAAAAGAAATTATTCACTGAAACTTCAGTTGAGGGACATTTACATGACAGTTTTAAGGACAAAGCCCAACCTATTCTCTTCCCTGGTAAATTAATACCTTTGTGATTGAAGCACTAATTTTGAAGAACCAGGTTCTGTCCAGCCACTTGAATATTGCTTGATTGCAAGATTAATTTAGAAGAAAAACCTGTCAGTTCTTGGAGCTGTTTCATTCCAAGTGGGCTCAGTGCTGGGGGCTGGCTCTACAGCCCAGTGGCCAAGGGAAACTCAGATCAATCCAATTTGGGCTAATCAGGGATCTGAACCTGGATTTTTCCATGTCTGCCCCCAAGAAAAAGCCAGCTCTGGGAAAATATTTGCACAAGCAGTGTAGCCCCGAGCCCAGACTCAAGGGGATTTAAGGAGGGGATCTGATAACTCCCAAATCACTGTCAGTGGGAGAGCAGTGCTTTTCCCAAAGCATCCTGCTCCCTCTGCAGCATCCCTGGGCTCTGCCTGCCTGCACTGCAGCCCTTTTAGCAGCCTCTAATGCGTGGCCCCACATGGGAGCAGCAGCACTAAACTGCTACCCGTGTTTGCAAACTGCCCTCGGTGCGTGGCAGCCCTGCTGAGCGCTGTGCTGGGGATGAAATACAGCCTGCTTAAATCTTGTATGTGCTCGTGCTGCATCAAACTAAGCCATTGTGGCACTTTAATATACTCCAGGCACAGCACCTCTGAGAGGGAACCAACCTGAGCTTTGCTGGAAGGCTGAGCTGAAAGTGGCTGTGCTGGAGCTGCCTGCAGCATGGGCTGAGCTGAGGCAGTGCTGGGAATGATGCCTCTGTCCAGGGCTAGCTCAGGGTTACAAACTGATGGAAAATAGAAAAGCCAAAATCCTAAGGCATCAGGAAAAATATGGGATTTCTGTGCCCAGGAGCAGAGGTGCAGCCACCCCAGAGCTCTGTCTGGCCAAGAGAAGGGTCAGACAGATGACAGCATGTGCTGATGTGTCAGGCAGTGCTGTGGTTGTGGCAGTCTCTGCTCCTTGCCTGGGCTTGGCTGGCTGGAGGGGAAGGTTCTGTTCCGCTGGGATGGCTCAGACACTGCGGCTCTGAGCAGCTTTTGCTCTCCTGACAACAGGGACTTGCTTGACAAGGGGATGCAAAGGGAAAGCAAGGCCCTGGACACACAGGAGGCATCTCCCTGGAGGGGACACTGCTGCTGCTCCCTGCCTCCGTGGGGTTTGTTCTTAGGAGAGCTCTGCTACTTTCTGTGCCTACTGGCCTCTGCTCTGTGTTGCAGGTTTCCTCCCACATGAGCCCCTGAGGTTTCTGCTGGCAGCCCCAGCAGTGCCCTGCAGAAGTGCCCTCCTGCTCCTGGCTCAGCAGCCGAGGCCGCTCCAAACCTGCTTCTGCAATGGGTGGGTTGTAAGCACTGGTAAGACCCACGAGTCGTGTCACCTTGCTGCTCTCTCCCTCTCTCGCGTTCTCTCTCTCTGTCCTTGCTCCTTCCTGCCCATTTATTTCTGTTCTCCATGTGCTCTGCTGTTCTGTCTCTGGGGTTTTCACTGTCAGGTAATGAGGAGCTGTGGGCCCAGTCAGTCTTGGAGATGCCGAAGAGACGAGACATCCTGGCTATCGTGCTGATAGTTCTGCCCTGGACACTGCTAATCACCGTCTGGCACCAGAGCACCATTGCTCCACTGCTTGCAGTGCACAAGGGTGAGAGAAACCAAACCAGCCCATGCCAAGCCCGTGCATCCCCCCTTCGTCCTCATCTCCTCTCTCATTTCATTCCTCCATGGCAGCCATGCTCATCTCAGCTCCCAGACCATGCCCATGCAGGAGCCTCCCCACCTCTGCTGTAGGAACAGCCCAGTGCTCGTAGGGGTTCTTCAGAGGCATCAAACTCCGTGCCATGGGATGTGCTCGCTGCACTTGGAGAGCTCTTTATGGCCTAAGCCCAGAGTGCTGCTTCTCTTTGTTCCCTGAGAGGATCCCTCCCTCCCTGCTGGCCTTTGCAGCGCTCTGCACACAGAGTTATTCCAGCAGGAAAGCTGCAAAAGAGACAGCAGAGGAAACAAAGCTGCCACTCGAGGCAGCTGCTCTGGGAGACCTGATGCTGAGAGCACTTTTAAGGAAAGCAGAAAAGCAGTGCTCTTGCACTTGAAGGAGAAGGCAAGAGCCAGATCTCACCTGCCTGGGGGAGTTGAAGTGCTCTGAGAAGTTGACTCCACACTCCTGTCACACACTGCAGTAAACACAGCCCTGAGCCAAATCAGGGGCTCCAGGAAATTCTGAGGGAACCCTTCTGGCCAGAACCATCCCAGTTTGGTCCTGTTCTTGGCACAGCAGCAATATCTAAGGGCTATGAGGGCTCTTGGGGGCTGGAAGAAGCCACACTGCCTTCTGCCACGTTCCTTCTCGTTTCTGCCACCTTCCTTCTCACAGGCTGGTCTGGGGGAGGAAGGCCAGCTCATTTTCAGGACCCTTTCATCCTCTCTGGTCCCTTTCTCTGAGAGATTCTCTCCCCTTTCAGTGTTTGTCCCCATCCTCCATAGCTGCTTATCCCTTTGCTGGATGCTCTGATGTGCAGTTTGAGCTGCAGGAAGTTCAGTCTGTCCTGAGCAGTTTTCTCTTTCTCCTGACTGCCACCTCTGAGGCTTTAGGCAGGGAAAAATGACTCTGATCCCTTCTGGAAGGTGAACAGTGTTTCAGAGGATGAGGGATCTACTGGGCTCTAAAAGAGGACTTTAAAGATGACTAAAAACATCTGCCTGTCTGTACAGTTTGATCACTGCCCTAAAAGCTGTTTTCTGTGAATGGTCCTTGCAGTTTCAGCACAGAGACTGAGCTCCAATGGCTCAGTCAAGAACTCACCAATGACCTTGATGAGACACTTCTCTGCTTCTCAGAGCCCCCAGCAGAAAGTGAGTGGTGGTAGAGACCGACCTGAAAGCTCTCAAGAGGAATCATTTTCTTCTTGTGAAGTGTTTCTGAGATGCTCTGCTCACAGGTGCTGAGAGAGATGTGCACCTGGAGATGGCCAAAACAGCAGCACTTTCCTGTGCCAGGGCTCACAGCTGAGGATCTGACCTGCAGGGCTTTGCAAACTGTCTTGGGCACCATCCTGGCTAATTACATTTGTGTCTGTGTCCAATGCATTTCGCAGATTTATTTCTGAATTGATTCCAGCTCTCAGAGAGCTCTGCAGTGATGCTGAGGTGCTTTGCAGCACATAGAGCCTGATAGCAACATGTACCCTGTTCCTTCCCCCAAATATCCACCCCCCTCTGTCAATACCATGGAGTACAAAGCCTTCATTTGGTTCAGGTTTCAAAGTCTGTGCTGCTGGAAGAATAACATTCTATGAAAAATCCATAGGTAGTCCCCTGCTGGGTCAGATCTAATGGCCCTCTGTTCCTGTTCTTTCTCATCTCAAGTTCCTGGTAGTTACCTGATGTTGAAAAATCTATAGCTCAAAGAGTTCTGTGCCCACTGGAGAAGCAGCCTTACATCCTGAATGGGGGCCCCCCTTCATCTCTGCAGACTGTGGCATTCCTGATACCTTGCAGTGGAGAATTGCACATGGAAGCTGCACCCTGGAAAAGCAGCAGGTGCATCACCACTGGTTTTCCTTGAGCTGATTGGGAACAATTTGCAGGGATTTTGTGTGTTTTGTGAGTATCTGATCTTCAGGCTGTTCATTGCTCACATGTGCAGCCCTGAAGGGGCTGTTCTGTTCAGAGGCTGGAGGGGCCTTTTTAAGGCAGGTTAGTTAGAGGTAGGGGAAAGTCTCTGCAGGAAAAAAGCTGCAATTACAGGCTTTAATTTCCACTCTCCATTTCTGCATTTGAAGTGTGTCTTTCCCCACTTCTCTGTGGCTGTCAGAGAGCTGTAGGGCACTGCAGTGTCCTTCCCAGACCATGCTGCTGGGGATCTTCACTGGCCTGGTGTTTTCCACCAGTTTTTTCCCTGCCTCCAAGTCCAGATGCTCCAGTTCCTGAGTGCAGGTCTGAGTCCTGCCCCACTGAGCGTGGTGGCCAGAGCAGTGGAGCTCTTCAGGGATGATGGACCATCATTCCACATGGCTATTTGCTTTATCTAGACCTACTTGCTCTAAAAGCCTATCTCTTCTGGATGCTTTTTGAAGCTGCTTGTTGTGAGCACTCAGCCCAGTTGTCCCGGGCTCTCAGGCCTTTTTTCTTTTTGGTGCTGGTTTTCTAGAGCAGAATCTTCTTTTCTCACGTGTGTTTGTCCCTGATTCCTTTATTTATCCGCGCCCTTACCTACGAAAGCCTCCACCCCAGCCTGTTTCCTCTCCTGGCACCCACGAGGGTGACCCGCTGGTGACCGGGGGGTGCTGGACGCCCGAGTCCATGCGGCTCTCTCTTCTCTCCATGCCCTTGCCCAGATGATGGTGGTGACTCCCAGCGTGATCTCGCTGCAGGCTTGGACTCCAAGGAATACTGCCTGTCGGACCGGGACATTGTGGAGGTGGTGAGGACAGAGTACGTTTACACGCGCCCACCCCCGTGGTCAGACACGCTGCCCACCATCCACGTGGTCACCCCCACCTACAGCCGGCCGGTGCAGAAGGCAGAGCTGACCAGGCTGGCCAACACCCTCCTGCACGTGCCCAACCTGCACTGGATCCTGGTGGAGGATTCGCAGCGCCGCACGCCGCTCATCACGCGCCTGCTGCGGGACACGGGGCTCAACTACACCCACCTCAACGTGGAGACCCCCCGAAACTACAAACTGCGCGGGGACATGAGGGACCCCCGCATCCCCCGCGGCACCATGCAGAGGAACCTGGCCCTCAGGTGGCTGAGAGAGACCTTTAACAAAAACAACAGCCAGCCCGGGATTGTTTACTTTGCTGATGATGATAACACCTACAGCCTGGAGCTCTTCGAGGAGGTAAGGGTGCGCTGGGGGTGGATGGGGCTGGTTAGCCTGGGGAGGGGGGGAGAGATGCTGTGAGTGAGCTGAGGAGGTGCTGGGCTCCTCTCCTGAGCTCTGGGTTAGTCCTGTAGTCAGTGCAGCTGAGCTGTGGTTTTCTCTGGAGCTCTGTTACCCTGTGTGTTTCCAGAGCCAAAGCACCCCTTGGAAGCAATGGGAACCCCGGTTTGTCTGTGGTGTGTGATCAGGAGGCAGCTTCCATGGAAAGGGAGCTAATGACGAGCTGCCTTCTCCTGTGGGGAGCCTTGTTAGGGTTGGACATCCCCTGCTGTCCAACGTGCAAAGAAACCTCAGCCATCCTCCTTCCTTGCCTCGTCCCAGAGATTTCCAGCTGTTCTGATGTTATCCACCTTCCTCCTCCACCACTTGGCTATCTGTTAAATCCTGCCTGCTTTCATTTGAGGGATCCTTTTCCTTCCCTGCCCTTTGCCTTTGCCTGCTCCCACCCCAGGGTTAAATCCTGGAGCCTGCTCCAGACCCTAGCTGAACAGCAGTGTCCTGTCAGAGCCACCCCTGAGCTGTGTCAGCACAGCCACAGCCTTCCCAGGGTATCTTGTTCAGAGATGTCCCCTGTGCTGGTCTCTGCCTTGCTGCAGACACGAGGAGCTTGATGATGTCAGACATTGTTTGAGATTTGTCAGAGATTTTGGTTCCCCTCCTGGAAAAGCAGAGCCCTCCATGCAGTGCCTGGGGGAGGGATGTCTGTGCCAGGAGATGGGTGCAGCTATTCCCCCCTGGAGCAATTCCTATTCCAGGACTCGGGCATGGCTCTCCCAGGCTGCTATCAGCAGGCAGAGGGGCTGAGATCTCCCCCTGGAAGTTTGCAGCTGCAGGGCTGAATTTCAGCATGTCCTGACAATCTGGTTGGGCTTGAGCAGGGGAAGATTTTCCACGGGCTTTTCCCACCTTTGCTTTTTGTTCCAGCCCAGCTTCAAACCTGTCTGCAGGTTTGAATGGTCTTAGTGCCAGGTACCTCACTGGCTTCCAGCTCAGAAATTACTTGTTCCCTTGCTCTCTTGAGGCCAACCTCTTTCACCAAGGGATGAGAAAGGAGGATTGCTTCCTTCCCCTCCAGCTGCCCATTTTCATACCAGGGATTTCCTATTTATTTCCTCATGCATGCCTCTTTCCCTTCCCCAATGGCTCTCACTTTAGCTTGCACAGCCACAGAAATGCACACGCTTTGAAAGCTGAGTGAATTCAGGCTGAATTCCTTTCTTCCCCCGTCCCCTTTGAGGCTGGCTCCGGCGGCATCTTGAGACAGACTCCTCACATGAATAAAGCAGAAAGGGTTCCTTCATTCACTCCTGTGCTGTGCTCGTAGAGGCTTCTCCTCTCAGATATGTCTCTGCAGTTAAGGTCACTGAGCCAAGGAAATGTGCTGTGAAATGCAGGAGACACACATTATTGCTCCCTGTGGACAGGGGCTGCCGTTAGCAGCTGTATAATGCAGAAGGGCAAGTGCCAGAGCTCTTCTGCTCTCGTTTGCAGTAATTAGCAGTGATGAGATTAGCTCTGGGAGAGCCCTGATCTGAGAGCAGAGCAGGAGGCTGAGCCTGCCAGGGAGCAGGGCAGGGTGCTGGGGGTGAGTGGCATTCAAAGCATCTGCCTTGGCAAGGGCAGGTGGCCAAAGGGGCCCTGGTGGCTCTGCTCCATTTCTGGTGACCACAGGGAGCAGAGGCACCCTGTTCCACAGGGCAGGACTGTCCTGCCTGCTGGGAATGTCCACAGAGGCTGTGCTTCCCAGCTGTCCCCCAGGCTGGCAGCTGCAGTGCCCCACTCTGGAGATGCCCTTAGCCTTACACAGCCTGAGACTGCAGCTTAAATACCTTAGTAGAGACCACCTTTCTTCCTAGATGGGCCATTCCTGCATTTCCAGGTGGTCTTGGACAAGGTGCTTCCCTCCTGTGTTTTGGTTTGCCCATATGGAGCCCAACAGCTGGAAAAAAAACCCATCCATAAATCCCAGAGGTGTTCCTTATTGGCAGCTCTGGACAAAAATTCCCTCCATAAAGCCCACAGATGTTCCTTATTGGCAGCTCTGGACAAAAACCCCACTCATAAATCCCAGAGATGTTCTTTATTGGCAGCTCTGGATAAAAACCCCACTCATAAATCCCAGAGATGTTCCTCATTGGCAGCTCTGGACAAAACCCCACTCATGAATCCCAGAGGTGTTCCTTATTGGCAGCTCTGGACAAAAACCCCACTCATAAATCCCAGAGGTGTTCCTTATTGGCAGCTCTGGACAAAAACCCCACTCATAAATCCCAGAGATGTTCCTTATTGGCAGCTCTGGACAAAAACCCCACTCATGAATCCCAGAGGTGTTCCTTATTGGCAGCTCTGTTCTCGGTGCTGAGTCCAGCTCGGTTCTGTGGCCATTGCTGCTGTCAGTTGCCACTTTCCAAAGCACTTCCCTTCTCCAGCTGTGGGATGGGCAGCCCTTTCCAGGTGGGTGCTGAGGTCTGAGCCACAGAGGTGCTGCCTGGGGTGGAACTGCTTGGGGACAGGTTCATTAAGGGCAGATGAAGCCTCCCCAAGGGGCTACACCCAAAATGGATGATGGTCATGGGGTTTTCATACAGATATAAGTTTGGTCCATTTACATATCAGGGGTTAGTCTTCCAATTACAGCTTTAGGTAATGAAGACATTTACCCCCAGTTTGCTCCCTGCTAACTCACTTTTTATTTATGATAAGACAGTGAGGTGTCCTTGAGTTTCAGGCCTAGAGGAATTGTTTTGTCTGACCAAAATGTGAAGACAGCAGCCAACACTCCATATAGAGTTTGAAGCTATACACCAAAGCAGTACAGGATTTAAAAAATACATGAAAAATACAAAAGTTAAGTTCCTGAGGCGTCAGGTGAGGTGGTTGTGCCAGGGGCTGGTGGCAGCCACAGGCGGGGTCAGCGTGTCCCCATGTGTGGAGACAGACGGGCATGCCAAACCTCTCCCTTGGAGAGATACCCCTTGAATGGGCTGTGATAAGATCATCTCAACCCTCCTGGATTGAGAAACCCGCCGTGGTCATGGCGAGTTCCCAGCATGCTTGGATTCTGTCCACATCGATTTTGTGTAACCCATTGGTTTTTCCCCCTTTATACCACCCCACTTTTCCCCATAAAAACCCCTGCTTCTGCCGTGCTCAGGAGGGAGCTGTCATTCCTGGCCTCCTTCTCAGGGTGCTGGAATAAAGGAACTTTGTGAACTGCTACACGGAGCTGCTGTCTCTTTGTCCCTGCGTCGGCCTGGGGACACCTCGTAGGGCAGAGCTGAAATCACTGCTAGGAGCTGAAATCACTGCTCAGACTGAAATCCCTGCTCAGAGCTGAAATCACTGCTAGGAGCTGAAATCACTGCTCAGACTGAAATCACTGCTCACAGACTGCCTGCCCCTTGCTGGGGTTACCTGGCAGCTGAAGGACTGCCTGAGACCCCTAGAAAGCTGTGTCCTGACGGAGCTCTGTCGATGTGTTTGTGGGGTCCCAGGATGAGGGAAGAGATGAATCTGACTCCATATTTCTTAGAAGGCTGATTTATTATATTGTGATATTATATTAAAAAGTGCTATACTAAACTATAGAAAGAAAGGAATACATCAGAAGGCTAGGAAAGGAATGAATAATAAAAACTCGTGACAGACCAGAGAGCCCGACACAGCTGGACTGGGACTGGTCATTAACTCAACACAATTCACATGGAACCAATCAAAGACGCACCTGCCACATGCCACAGCAGCAGATAATTATTATTTACATTTCTTTTCTGAGGCTTCTCAGCTTCCTAGGAGAAAAAAATCCTGGATTTTTCAGGAAATATCCCGGAGACAGGCGCTCTCTGTGGGGAGGCCGCGGCCTGCGGGTGGAGCCCTGAGGCCGGTGTTAACCCTGTGTGTGCTCTCGGCAGATGCGCAGCACCAGGAAGGTGTCGGTGTGGCCCGTGGCCTTTGTGGGCGGCCTGCGCTACGAGTCGCCCAAGGTGAACGCGGCGGGGAAGGTGTACGGCTGGAAAACCGTCTTCGACCCGCACCGCCCCTTCGCCATCGACATGGCCGGCTTCGCCGTCAACCTCAGGCTCATCCTGCAGCGCTCTCAGGCCTACTTCAAACTGCGCGGGGTCAAGGGCGGCTACCAGGAGAGCAGCCTGCTCCGCGAGCTGGTCACCCTCAGCGACCTCGAGCCCAAGGCTGCCAATTGCACTAAGGTATGCTCTCGTCCTCCTGCGGGGTGGTGAGGAGCCAGAGGGGGAAATAAAACCAGTTTGCACCATCATTCTGTCAATTCACAGAATCACAGAGTATCCTGAGCTAAAAGGGACCCACAAGGGTCGTCCAGGCCAGCAATCCCACCGTGGCATGCCTGGCAGAGCTGTCCAACGCCTCCTGGAGCTCTGGCAGCCTCGGGGCCGTGCCCATTCCCTGGGGAGCCTGGGCACTGCCCAGCATCCTCTGGGAAAGAGCCTTTCCCAAAATCCAACCTAAACCTGGCTCAGCTCCAGCCATTCCCCAGGTCCTCAAGAGAAAGAAGAGGGATCAGTGCCTGTCATCCACTGGCCCTCATGAAGAGACTGCAGATGGCTGTGAGCCTCCCCTCAGCCTCCTCCAGGCTGCTCCTCTGTGTTCGCAGGGAGCTCACCCCCATTTCATGGAAGCTGGGAATGGGGGATTATGCACTAAAATGTGTGGAGAGCACTTAATCTCTTTCGGCTGCAGGGTGCTAGTGGTTGCATAAGCCTTGAAATGCAGTTTTCTCTCCCTTGTAACTGTTCATCTTTCTCACATTACCTCTTAAAAAATACTTTCAAGGTGGGCTTTCCTGTAGCCTGGCTGATTCTCTGCAGCAGGGAGTTGCCTGGGTGAAATGTCAGTTATTTAACATGAATTCCCGAGTGGGGTTTGAGTGCTGTGACACTCTGGGGTTTGCTCTGTGGGTCCGTGTGAGCTGTCACCCAGCAGCAGCAGCCACAGCCTCCAGGGAAGGGCTGCTCACACGGGCTCTGCCTTGCTGCCAAGTTGTCTTCTCCCTCCTGACATCCATGCAATATCTGTGCTGTAGGTGCCCACAAAAACCTGGGTTTTTCTGTGTCAGAGGTAATACAGAAGTGTCGTAGTGCCTGGGATATTGCTGTGAGCTCCAGGAAGCTCCATTTGGGGGGGATTTTACTGCTTTTAGCTGACTGATCAATGCTGCCTGTACACATTGCTAGGTCAGGGAGCAGGACTCCATGTGCTAAATAACACAGAAACCACACATGGTTCCTCTCCTGAAAACTTCCCAGTCTGAGATGAGAGATGAATCTGTCTGGGCTGACAGGGAGCGTGGGAGACACCATGAGACAAAGCTGCCTAGAGTGACAGGCATCAATCACAGCCCATCAGCCACAGAGGTGCTGCCAAGGGCTTTGAAGCTTTGTGAGTGGGTTCTCTAAATAGTCGAGGTGTGCTGGGGGTCCCTCTGAAATCAGAGACCCCTGTGTAGCACTCTCACATCTTTGTCTGTTATAAACATCAGCCAGTTTGATTTAGAGAGTCTTTATTGCTTAATTACCCCAACAGAATTGTTCTTTTATTGCAAATAAGTGGTTATAGGCAACAGCGCCAGTGTTGGATCCAGGTCTCCATCCTTTTTGGGATAGGAATGAAAATGTGACTTATGCCCTTTGCCTGGTTTCCATGTGCACTGCTCCAAAGCCATGGAAAAAAACTAGGAATCTGAATGTTCAGCAGTGCTCACACAAGGAATCCAGGAATAAGGAGGAGGAGTTGAGGGGAAGCAGCAAGTCTGAGTTTTATCTGATACCTGCTGTGCCTCTCTGAATCCACACTTCTGTGGTTATGGCTGTCCAACACCAGGACAAATAACCCAACCAGCCTCCCAAGAATGGGGAAAGAGTTTGGATTAAAATTAGATCCCTGTTTCTGGGCACTGTGTGGAAATAAATGTGTTTCCAACAGGCAGGAGAGATGGACAGGCTGCTTTTACTCTGTGTACAGAAAATTAGGGGTGTGTACTCTGTGGCCAGTTATCCAGTCTTTGGTCCATTGTTCCTGCTGTAAATAAATACCTGCTGGAAGGAAGCTGTGCTGGGAAATGACAGCCCTGGAGAAAGGAGAGGAAGGAGAATGTTGTTTCCAGGCAGGAGGAAACAAAGGGTGCTGGAGCCAGGCAGGGCTGACACAGGCCAGGGATGGGGAGGAAGCAGCAGGGATTGCTGCCCAGCACTGGAAGCAGACTGAGTTTCTTTTCTTGGCTGGGCTGGGGAGAGCTCACAAGGGTCCTTGTTGTGAGCTGAATGCTGTCTGCTCCTGGCAGGCTCCGAGTGCAGCTTTGCAGCTTGGGCTCTGCCTTCCTGCTTCAGCCTCCATTGCCCTGGAAATCTCCATTTCTGCTTTTACTCACCCATTTTACCAGGAGAAGAGTCTGGCCCAGCAGCAGAGAAGGACCCAAGCCAGCTGTGGTCTGGGGTGCTCTGTGCCCAAGATCAAAGCACAGGCTCCTCTCTCCCCCCTGTGCTCCCAGCACTTGTCATGCTTTGCTTCTGTTAAACATAACCACACACCTGCTTTGCAGGGAGATTTACATTAAAAATTATGATGTGCTTAGACAGAGTCATTAAGGAGGGATCAGAGGAATGTGTAAGATAAGCACAGACATCTGTTCTCCAAAAATGCTGCCTTCCCTGTGTGCACTGCTGGTGCTGGAAATATTGATCAGAATTCAGCCCACAAACACACTCCTGCAAAAAGCTGACGTTTAGGCCAAAGATCACATATCATGCTTATTTTCATGGATTTGGGAACTGCCCAAAATGAAGGAGAAAGTAAAGGAAGTTGGTATTAGTTGCTAAGGTGAAAGTTATCCTTCCTTATGAGGAGGGAAGGATTGGTTTATCCTGGAGCTGTAAAGAAACAGGGCTTTGCAAGGGCTCTCTGTATTTGGATTTGTGCTGTTTGTGCATTTCCCCACATCCCCAAACCAAACCATCCTCTCTTCAACCCCTTGGCACAGGAGAGAGGTCTGAGATTTGGCATCCCTGTCAGGCTGATGGAAAGGGGGGACATTCTGCTCCCTATTTCCTGTGGACACCAGGGAACAATCTGCAGTGAGCTCAGCCAGGGAGGACTAAAGCAACCAAGGGCACCATAATGCCACAGCTGGGGAACATTTTATTGTCAGGCTGGAGAACAGGGAGCAGAGCTGCCCTTTCAGCCTGGTGTCTCTTTTTTTTTCCATTCTGTAGTTTCCATTTTAAACAACAATTCCTGAATCCCTCCTGGGAGGGTCTGCTGAAAACCCTGTGATCCCTCCCACCGCAGGTCGGACACTTCTGTTTGTTTTTATATCTCCTGTTGGGAGACAATGGATTGTTCTGCTGTGGAGTAGGAGCCTTGTGACCTCCTAGATCTGTTTTGAGTCCTGTGACTCTGAATGGCTGTAAATGAGTGAAAGAGTTTTGCAGTAGTACTTTTAAAGGGGAGTGATCTATGTGATCTCTTGAGTGATCTGTATGAAACCACTGCTCAGGAAAAGTCAGGTCTCCCTCACTGTTTAATCCCTTGTGAGAGAGCCAAAGCTTTTCTGAGGCATAAAACATGCTACTTGTTGAAAAAAACCAAGCACTGGCTGAAAGGAAAAGCAAATGTTTCTGTAGTAAATGGTGATCTACCTCCCACGTTAAGGAGCACAGAATGAAAAATGGTAAAAGCTGCTGTATCAAGCTGCAAACTCTGAAAATGGGTCTGGTTCAGCCCATTTAATCTGCCCTTTTTGGCATTTGGCTTTGAGAGAGCAGAAGTGGGCTCCAGCTGAAGGAGAGCCCTGGTGCTGTGCAGTTGTGTTCCTCTGCTGCTGGAGTGTGAGCGAGCCCTGGGCCACAGCAGGGCTCGGTGAGGAGGGCCAGCAGTGCAAAGGGCTCTCACCAGCTCTCCCTGAAGAGAACTGGCTGCAGGATTTCTCCAGCACCTTTTTTTATCCTTCCACCATCATTGCAGAGCCCTGAGAGCCACTCGTGAGCCCTGCTGGGTTTTGTCTTTTCCCGGGCGTGCAGCGCAGTAATTGCAGCAGCGTCGCTGCCGTGGGGAGAGCAGGGCTGGAATCAAGGGTGACTTTGATGAGCAGGCTCTGAAGTGCTTGTGGGGGATGATGAAATGGATTTCTGGACCCACTCCAGCCAGCAGTTGGTCTCTACTGCTTCAGTATTAGCAGAGATTTAAGCTCCACGCAGGAGGTGACTGCTCACATCAGAGACGAATTTGGTCAAACAAGCTCCTTGGGAAGGGGGGGAAGGTGCTCTGCTTGAACCAGGAGGGTTTGAAAGGTGCTTTGTTCATCCTTCAGAAGCAGAACGTGGCCTGGTTTTTCAGGAAGGCAGGCACTGGGTGGAAGAGGTTCGCAGGATTCGGTGTGCAGGGGATTGTCATAGCAACCAGAGGGAAACCCCACGAGGTGGGAAACAGCCAGGCACAGGTGAGGGGAAGCAGGAAACCTGTTTGGAGAGGATAAAGCTGCTCCCAGCAATGCTGGTTCGAGGAGGAAAGCAATGAGTATAATTGAGTATTTTCAGCAGCTTCCAGAACCATCTGAGCACAGCAAGTAGAAACAATTTCCTACAACAGCCCCCCTGAAATACTCGACCACCTCAGATTCTGCCAGTTCTCCTCCACAGATGTTGATCTCTCTGCAACTTTGCTGCCAAGATAGAGGGAAGCTTTTAGGAGAAGCTTCAGTTCTGTTTTAAGCTAGTTTGGGAGGGGTTTTAATACCTGGTACAGAATAGGGGGTGGCTGTATAGGGCCAGCATTCCAAAGGGAGTGGGGAGGGGGCTTTTGGGGGATCCATAGGGGAATGCTGGGTTGTGAGAGGGTGTGTGCAGCCCGGAGTTTGTGGGAAGAAGGGAGGATTCTGGAGCCAGCTCCTGCCTCAGCAGCTCTGAGCTGCAGCAGCAGTGAGTCCTTCCTTGCTCAGTGACACTCAGTGGCTTTTTAGGCTCTGGAAAGGATTTAAAAGTGGTAAGTGATGCTGAGGTTAGGGGGCAGACTGATGCCTGCTTCCAGTAATGGATTTTCAGGCATGTGCTGAAGAATTCAGGTTATATTTCCCCCAGCCAAAGGCAGGGGTGGAGATGGGAAGAGCTGGTGATGCCTCTTCCCTCACAACCACCTAAATGTCAGGAATTTGCATTTCCCCTCTGAGTGACTCCACAGGCCGAGCGTGTAAGGTGATAACCAAGGAGTAGCTGAGGAGCTGTGGGAAGCAGGGATGTGATTCCAGGCTGGGAGGGAGCTGCCTTACCCCATTGGAAGGCTGATGAGCCTTGGGAGGGAGCTGCTGGATAACTACATGGAAGGAGCAGGTTAATGTCCCACGACAGCACACTGTAAAAGGGTGATTTCTGTGCACTGTGCATTTTGCAGAGCAGCAGCTCTGCCTAAATGAAGGTTTATGCAAAGCCCCTCTCAGCAGTGGATGCACCATTAGGCTCCAAGGTGGCTGGTTAAATTGCACTATTGATTTAATGTGCAGGAATATTTCCTAGCGCACTGGAGAGGTGCAGCTAATGACTTCTGCTGCCTTCTTCAGATTTTAGTCTGGCACACAAGGACAGAGAAGCCTGTGCTGGTGAACGAGGGCAAGAAAGGATTCACAGATCCCAACGTGGAAATCTGACTGTGCATGGCTGAGCAGAGACCAACAGCAGGTAAGAGCACGTGTTTCTGACAGCAGTGAGAGCTACACAAGAGCAGGAGAAAGAGAAAAGCTCTTTTAAATGCGATTTTTCATTTCCATTTTTTACACCCTGACCTTCCCTTACTGCTAAACTTCTCAAGACCATTCATTAATCTTTCTTTTTTAAAGTTAATCCATTTTTGAGAAAAAATACCTGCTGAAAGGTTGAGGGGAAGAAAAATGCAGGGAGTGGGAGTTTAGGCAGAAGTTGCACCATTAAGAAAAATCCTTGTGTGAACAAGGTTGCCTTATTAACTTTAATGTAGCTAAAGCACAGGGGTGAAGGGTATGGATTCATCCACCTGCAAACACCTGAGGAAAGCTAAAGCAGTACCAGCAAAAAGATTTTTGGTCAGGCAGAAGCTTTCACTGAGGGAAATATTTAATTCAGGCCCACACTGAAGCCACAGAGAGGCAGTGACGAGACAAGTGTGGAAGGTGTGGATTGAACCCTGCCTGAGGTGTTTGCTCACCTGAGGAGAGCATGGGGTGTCTTTTCCAGTGGAAAGGAGGAAAGAACACACACACTGATGTTTGTTCATGCCCTGGGTGTTTCTGAAGGTGGTTTGCAGGAAGGTGAGCTATTCAATTGTATCTGCAGCCTGTGGAGCTGCCCTTCATTCTTATGGGTAAAAAAAAATAAATGCACAATGCTCCCTTTCACTGGAGTGAAGAACCAGGCCTGGAGGGAGAGGAGGCTGCTGCTCTTGAGTCTGAGAAGCAAGAGCAGGAAGGGGTAGATTTGCTCAGCAGTGGTGAATTTTTACCTGCAATGAGCTCCCTTATGTCCCATTCCCTAGGGGAAGCAGGATGGAGCCTGCCTGCTGCTCTGTGCCCTTGGCAGGGCAGGAGGAGAGCCTGCACCAGCTTCTCTGTGCCAGGGGGAGGCTCTGCAGAGGGGCTGGAGCTCTGCAGCACTGGCTCCAGTGCTGCTCCCCCTGTCCAGGCAGCACAATTTTGGGATCTGCAGCAGGACCAGGCTTTGGGATGGCCCTGCAGTGGTTCAGGGCTTTGGGATGGCTCTGCAGTGGTTCAGGGCTTTGGGATGGCCCTGCAGCCAGGCACAGGGCTTTGGGATGGCTCTGCAGCGAGGCACAGGGGTTTGGGATGGCTCTGCAGCGAGGCACAGGGGTGACACCCACGCTGCTTGTGTCTCTTGCAGAAGATCTCTTCGTGCGCAGCCTGCAAGGTTCCTCTCCACAGCATCCACCCAGCCAGCCAGGCAGGAGCCAGGCCCTCTGCTGACTCCCACGAGTTTTAGCCTTCAGAAAAACCAAGCACCACCGCATACATGAAGTCCCCGGATCCCCTGCCCCTCCTCCTGGACCCGGAGCACAGGCAGACGCTCCGGAGGTGGAGAACAAAGCACAGAAAGGCAGGACTGGCAGCTCCCGGCCCGAGGCTCTGTCTGGCATGTGGCTGCAGCGAGCAGGGCTGTGTGCCAGCACCTGGCTGAGGGTGAGAGCCACGACAGTGCCCCCAGGGACTGATTTTGCTGAGAAACACGAACCTTGTGGCCATGTGTGAGACAGCCTGAGCAGCTCTCTGGCCGTGGAGGGGACAGCTGCCTTCAAGATGGCACCTTAGCCCTTAATTTTAAACCTACTTTAATCAGTGTTTGTTACGCTGCACAAGACAGGGAGGGTTTGGGGAGGGGGAAAAGCGAGGCAGGTTAGAACAAACCCTTTAAGCATCACTGTTCTCTGATTTTCCTCTCCTTTTCCTTCCTCAGTTTCACAGTTTGGGGGGCACCCTGACATTCCTCTGTGGTCATGGAATCATGGAAGGGACTTTAAAGGTCCTCTGGTCCAAGCCCCTGCCATGGGCAGGGACACCTTCAGCTGGACCAGGTTCCTCCTGGCCTGGAATATTCCCAGGGATGGGGCATCCCCCACCTCTCTGGGCAACCTGTGCCAGTGTGACACCACCCTCATTGTAAAAAATGTCCTTATATCAAATCTATCCTCTTTGCGTTTAAAACCATCAAACCCTGTTCTATCCCTGCTAAAAGGTTTGTCCCCATCTTTCTTAGAAGTCCCCAGAGTGGGATGGAGGGACAGGATCAGGGAGCTGCTGATCACCACCAGGTCACCACTGGTTCTGGATGGAGTCGTGTCTCCAGCATGTGGTTCTCTAAAAATGCTAAAATAATGGGAAGTGGGGTTTAATGAGATTGTGGGGGCCATACACCATAATATGAATCCAAATCTGGGTCCTGTTTAGCCCTAATTTGGTTCCTATGAGTATTAGGTGTGGGATTCTCTCAAGGGTGCTCCTATATAAAGGCCAATTTCCACTCTTAAAAAATAAAACTGCTTCACACTAGGGACTGGATTCTAAGAGATTATTTTAGTGCATTTCCCATTTGATTGGAGTGTATCCTCCAGCCCCAGCCCCTTTTTCTGCTACTGCAGAGCTGGTGTGAAAAGCCACCCTGGAGCAGTTCCCAGTCCCCTCTGATGGAGAGAGCAGCACCCTTGGGAAGGGGATCCTGGGCTCAGGCTCTGCTTATTCACCATCTGGTGGTGCTGCCACCATGGGTGACTCTGTTTGAGACTGCCAAACTTGCTGAGATAAAAACTGAGGTACAACAGGCCCCTTCTCCCAGCCAAAACCCCTAAATTCCCTCCCCCTCCATAACTGTTGTCAAACCTTTGTCACCCCCCCGCCCCCACCACTGTCCCAATTCCTTCAAAAATTTTGAAGCACAATTTTACCTTTGAACTGTGGGAAAAATGTAATCCTGCAATAGACTTGGTTATTTTTAGCCCTAACACATAGAACTATTACAATGCTCTGGGTTTGATTGCTGGCTCACGGTGCAGAAGTCTCCCCTTGGACTAATGACATTGTGTATTTCCTGATATTTCAAAGGAAAATATTTTTTGTAAGTTATTTTCTCCCTCTGTATATCAGAACTGTTGGGGAAAAGTCTCATTCTTTAGTTCCCAGCCACAGAAGCCTTTACAAAAATGTTCCTTTTAGATGCAATGGCTGAAGCACCACTTGGAAGGAAAGTGTTGGATGCTGCTGGCTGCTCTATGGGAACAGGTATTGTTACCTTGGATTAAAACTCTGCACTCAAGTAGATTTCTTCTCTTATTGTACTGGCCTTCCAAGTTCCCTTCAGTCTGCAAACCCTACAGTGGAAAGACATTTTTCAAGGACTACCAAGTTTTCATAGCATTGAAATAGTTTCCAACTGATGTCCTCTCCGAGCTGCATGTTTTGGTTCACTGATCTGAATTCCAGTCCCTGCTGGGTTCCAACCTTCCCTCCTTGGAAGGAAACAACTTTCAGAAAAATGCAAAGGACGGAGTCCTGAGCACAGCCCTGCACATTTGCTCTGCCCACAGGAGCCTGGGCCCTCTCAGCTGTCCCAGAGCTGCTGTGGCCCTGGGGAGCAGAGATAGGTGTCACCAGACCTGGCCAGGATGGAGTGTGTTCCAGCTGCACTGTCTGTTCTCAGTTTTAAACAAACTGTATTTAAATTTGTTAAATAAAATGATGGTTTCTAAGAGCCAGAATACCCTGCACCTCCCTTACAGACACAGTCTGGTGTTTCTCCTGGTACTGGCACAGGAAGCAGCAACTCCTTGGAGCTTCTGAAGGATTCACAGCTCGGGTTTGATCTCCCCCTCTCCCTAAGGAGGCTGCAGCTCCTCTGTGCCTGGAGCTGCTGAGTTAAAACAATATCATGTTTACCTAAATCCCAAGTTTCTGTTTAGAGGGACAAAAAAAAAGCCAAAAAAAACCAGGACCCAAGATCCCACAGCAGCTTTAAGGAGAAAGCAGGGATGGGTTTCCCCACTTGCAGTCCCTTTGCTTCTACCCCAGCCAAAATCTGATCCCTGCTCATTTTCCAAGGGGGAATGTCATCTTTAGGTGCTTCACAGTGTGAGCAGTGGTGGAGAGGAGACTGCAGGACTCACTTGATTTCTCCACCTTGGAAATTCTCATTCCTGCCTGGCCTGAAACATGATGATACATTTGACAGAAGACAAAACACATCTCACTTTTTAAATTTTTTCTTTTTTTTCCCTTTTGAGAGAGAGACGACCTCCATAATAAAACTTAGTGGGAAAAAAAAGCTGAAATTAAAAGTCATTTGACAACCACCTTGCCTTCCAACAAAGGAACACATAATGGCCTTTTTGCAGAGAGACTTGCTAAAATCTGCCTCAAAGCACACCGAATGGTTTTCCACACTTGATTACTCACATGTGCACCAACTATTTTCTCCCTACCTAATTATAAAAACGAGGAGGCCAACGTTAGCACATTTTGAAAGTCCTTGGAAAGCTGAGCTCAGCTTCTGGTTCAGATGGCTTCAGTTCTTTCTCTTTCTCTCTCTCACCTGCCTCCAGCACCTTTTTACTCCCCCACATCCACCAGATGGTGCAGAACATGCGCAGCCATCGGGGCTGGGGGCCTCAGCAGGGCAGGGGATGAGCTGCATCATCCATCCATCCATCCATCCATGGAACAAGGGCGCTGCTTCCTCGCTGTCCTCTCCTCTGACCTCACTGCCAGAGGGCAAATCCTTCCCCTGGCTGGAGTGGAGGTTAGCATGCCCGAGCGCTGAGCCAAGCAGGAGTGCTCAGGGTGAGCCAAACGTGGGAAAGCAGCTCTCAGTCCACGTACTGGGTCCGTCCTAGGTAAGGGATGTCCACGGACTGGATGATCCGGCCCGCCGTGCGCTCCTCAAAGATCACAATCTGTACAGGGAGAGAGAAAATCCCTTCTTGCAAAGCCTGGGGGGCTGCAAATGTTCTTAGGAGCAGGGGAAGGAAGCACCATTTCAAGAGCTCAGTCAGTGTGGGTCTGAACAGGGACTGAGGCTCTGCCTCGGCACCACGTGGTGCAGGGATGAAGCAGCATCACATCAGGTTTGTCTTGATTTCCAACCTGAGGCAGAGCTGTGAAGTTCAGCTGCCATC